CAAAGTAACTCACAAAAAAGCAAACAAAATACCTGTAACTTGAAAAGCAAAAAAATATGTGAACCTAATCATCCAAAAAAAGTCATAAGAAAAACCAAATGAAAATCTTATTAAAAAAATAAAACCATTAACATAACAAAACAAAACTTAAAATATGCAGAAAAAAATAATTTCATATATTTCCTAAAAAAAAAGTAGAATTAAATTGATAAATAATTATAAATAAGAAAACATCTTTATTGATGTTCGAAAAAACTCAATAACTCTAATTAACAATAACACTCAAAATTAAAAAATAAGAAATAAATAAAAAATTGAAGCAATTCCATCTCATGAATTATGAATTCTTTGAAAGATCTAGCTTTTAAGACCTTTACTAAAAACCAAAACCAAAAACAAAAATATACCCAAATTAAATATCCTTCATAAAATCCAAAAAAAAAATTATCTTATTATAAAGAAAAGAAATAAATTTTACCCATAAAAGAACGCGTGTAATATTACCAATAAAATTCCAAGTTCTTGAAGCTTGTAACTAAAAGAAAGATAAAAAAATTTTATTAAGAAACACCAATTACAAATAAAAGTAGTAAAAAAGGAATTGAAATAAATAAATTTCTAGAGGCTTGAGAAAATGGGTAAGGGTTTTATAAGGGGAGAGAGATTGAATGGCATATAAGAGAGAAGAAATAAGGAAAAAGAGAGAAGATGGAAAAGTTATCTACAACCACCAACAACTGCGACCTAAAAATAAAAATTATGTTCAGTTTTATGAAAAAATGAATAGGTGAACAAAGATTAGGCTTTTTCTCACACTCTTCTAATTTTTTCTTGTTTTCTCAAAGCTTTTTATCAAATATCTATTCTTTTCCTTCTCTGGAAGCTTCTAAGCAAAATTCTAGCCAAAATTATTTGGTTTCTTAACATTTAATTAATTAAAAAAAATCCAAAACCCATACTCATAAATAAAAACTTGAAAATCCAATTAAGCATAGAAACTTCTTATTCATTTAATTACTAGGAGTATAATAATAATTACCAAGGGCAACCAATCAGTTGCTGCCAAATGTCAAATAAACAATCCCTTGAGGAATTATTTTCAATAGATAGTATAGATATTAGAAAAATATCATACTTTTGGAATAATATAATCTTTTTTAAATGAGGTTATGAATATTTGTGGTAATGTTTTTGTTTTTGTTTACGAAATATTTGCAAAATGAGTTATTATTTTTTTTAAAAAATAAAACAAAATAATATTTTCAAGTAAAAATATGATCTTAGAGATCTTGCTTCCATATTGGAGGAAATTCAAATAATTATTTTCACCAAATATTATTTTTGTTTTAAGAATTATTATGATAATTTCTTAAATGGAAGAAAATTTTTCCTAAATTCTTCTTAGGAGGTGTTGGGTTCGATGGAAAGTAAGATTCCTCTTTAAAATTTTAGTTTTTATAATGTGATTCTTATGTTTGGTTCCCAATAATGTGATTCCCTAAGATTTTGTAAGATTCCCGATAGTATCAAAAATAGGGAAAATAACCCTAAATTGTAAACCTTCATTTCCCTTAAGTTTTCTAAGATTCTTAACGAAATGTAAAATTTAATTCACTTTTGTCCTTGATAAATGGTTTTTACATTCTATATGACCTTTCAATATAAAAAATTTGTATGATAAATTGAGACCTAAACTAACACGCATTGAGCATTTCAACTCTTATCCTTTGACACCTAGTAATTACCATGTTTAAATTTTATTTTTCAAAAACAAAAAATTAATTTAGTTTTTATTTGTATTGAATTTTTATTCATTAGGATTATATTTGTATTTAGTTTGTGCAATTGATTTAAATTTATTTAATAAAAATTCAATAATTAGTAACATATGTATATTTTTTTAAATAATATTAAATTATTTGAAATTAAAAATACAATAATATTAAATTATTGAAATTAAAATTATTTTAAATATTGATTGTATTGAGATTTGAAAGATAAACTATATTTTCAAAATTTTGAAATTTTAACAATGATCACATTTTTAAGATAAGAAACATAATGGATATTGAAACTTTATTTTTGAAATTCTAGAATTTTAACATAGACCTCGTTTTTTAAGATAAGAAACGTAATGGATATTGAAATTTTATTTTTGAAAATTTGAGTTTTAACAAAGATTGTGTTTTTAAGAAAATAAATGTAGTGGATGTTACTACTTAAAATAAAATTAAACTAAATATAAAATATCTTTACTTAATATTTTAGATATAAAACGTAAGGTCGATATGCTTATTTTCTCTACTTAGGGACAATCAATGTAAGAATAGTAATTAAAATTGTAAAATTATCTTTATTGAAAATATGAAAAAGAATTCAAATTTTTTTTTTAATTTTAATGTGTTATAAATGTCATGTATTGTTTAAGGAAAATATAGTAAAAAATTTTATTAGATAACCTTACACTCCTCTAAATTAAATATAAAAATATTACATTCCTAAGTAAAAAAAACTTAGAAATCACACATTCTTCTTTATTATCACTTTCTCTCAAAATCACTTTATTTCTCGAAATCTAAAAGTCTATGAACCATACACCCTTTTAGATGTTGAGGAATTTAAGAAAATTTTTTATACCAAACATTTCTCATTTATCTCAAAGTAAGATCTTTGCTAAAAAACAAATATGAGAAAATCTTTTTAAATGGATGAAAGAAAGAGTGGAACAAAATTGATTATTTGCATTATGTTATTTTTTTTAATGTGCATCACTTATATTGCATCATATGCATGGTATTTATTAGTGATAAAAGTGAAATGACAAGATAAAACTAATAAGGGTTTTAGAAATTAAAACAAGGATAATATATCCTTAAGTAAAAATAGTTCTTGGGATCCTATCTAGATATTGAAAAGATTCTCAATAATTATTTTTTATGAAAGAATATTATCTTCAATTTTTAGGAATATTATGAGAATTTCAAGTAGAAGACTATTTTTTAAAATTCTATCTAGATATTGGATAATTCTTAAAAAAAATTTGAAACTAAAACTTTTTATTTTATTCCTAAACAAAATAATCTTTTTTTTAAAAAAAGACAAAAAGATTTTATGAAAATAAAAGGAATTAGGAGAGTTATCTTTAAATATCAATTAAGATTATTTTTATTAATGTTAAGAGGATAACACTTAATTAATTGGTACTATGTTTGGAACAGGTGATGTGAAATTGTTAATCTTTCTCTATACATAATTGTACTTCTGAACTTGATTTTGATTTTTTCACAAACAAAAAAAAATATCTTTTTAAGAAATTTTAATTAATTTTAAAGTTTTATTAAAAAAAATTTTCGTAGATGACTAATCACACTTACCCAAAAAAAAATTGATGACAACTTTCTTTACATTTAAAATTCTTTAACTTACATATCATGCCTGTAGTGTTATATTCGGGTCTAGGTATTATTCATTGCGAACTCATCTAAAGATGGGAATGGTGATCTAAGTCCTAAAAAATAAGGGGAACACCGAGCACCCTATTTGGATATGGTGAGGTGGAAGCATTCTTATCTAGCTACACTATTTTTTATTAGATATTTGAATCAATTAAAAATATAAAATGTATTACATGTGCACAAATTAAAATAATTTTAAGTATTTGATTATCTTTACTTAATATTATTATATATAAAATTTATTTTGGATGTCTTGTCGATTGCACTCTTAAGAAGGGGTTTATCACCAATTCTAATTTTATATCGATCTTATCATGAAAGTTGATCCGTATATTTGTTTTGCGTGAAAGAAATTAATGTTAATGTAGTAACTAGGCTCCACAAAATTTAACAAAATATATACAAATATTTTTCAAATATTTATTTACAAAATATTATTTAATCTATATAAATAATTTTAATAATTTTTAATAATTTATTAATTTTATAAATATTAAAAATATACTATAAATTTTAATCTAATATCTTAATAATCATTTGTTTTATTTTCATTTTACTTCGCATGCATCCAAAATTCTAAATACATATTCTAACATTACCACTATAACTAATTAAATAATTTCATAAATGTTAAATATATATTATAATTTTTTTATATAAATTGTAATTTAATATTTTAATATTATTTCTTTTTTCATTATACTTGTCATACATCTAAAAGTATATTTTATCACAATCGAAATATCTAATCTCACCTACTTTTCAATATAAATTAATCTCTTCTTCGTCCAAAATGAATCTCAGCAAAATTAGGCAATAATAAGATTATGTTTGAATTTTGTTGTTTTTATGATGAGATGATTAAATTTATCATATCATCAATTAAATTTAAACATCAATTTTAATAAAATTAATTAGATAAAAAAAATTTTATTAAATTTTTTTAATTATAATTATAATAATTATTATTATTATTTTTAATTTTATCAAAATTAATTTTACCCTCGCCTAAATTGAATCTCAGTTACCTGAAATTCATCGTGAGTGTCGAAAAGTAGGGTACAACAGGGGCAGGAGTGAGCGATTTGATTTGACATGAACGTTGTATGTTGTATAAACATGCTATTAAATATTCATAAAAATTGCTATTAAACATATTATGATATGACGTAAAAACATATAAAAATAAAATAATATTATTTAAAACTTTTTAAATTTAGTAAAATATATTTTTATTTTTATTATGATATGACGTAAAAACATATAAAAATAAAATAATATTATTTAAAACTTTTTAAATTTAGTAAAATATATTTTTATTTTTATGTAAAAATAAATTATGATATTTATTTACAGACAAATAATTAATTTTTTACATGAATATAAAAATTACCGAATATTCTTTCATGTCGATTATTACGAAGATATCAAAAAAGTTGTATCCAACGGCTAAAAGAAGGAGTCACCAAATCGAACTACTCACATGAGCTGTAAAATCTCTGCATCCTTAATTGAATTAGCGGAGTTGACATTTTCCTTATGATTATTATATGCATGATAAAGAAAGACAAATGCCACAACAAAGGTCAGAAATTTGAGACGGCAGTTGGCTTGAGAAGTTTGTTCTCAAATTGGGCCCACAGTGCCACTGTTTGTCGTAAATTCCAAATGTAATCACCCAAACAGATAAACAAACCTTATAAAATCCGACCATATTTCTCTCGTACTTTCACACTTTTCATTAAAAAACTGGTTCCACTTTCCATCCATTCTGGAAAAACCCCTTTTTTTTTGGACAAAATGGATGAATCTTCTCTCAATGCATATAAACAACTATTCCATGCCCTCTCTTTGATTCCAATTTCGCACTATGTACTGGCATTTACGCTTATATGGGCACTGTTTCTCTACAATTTCCTGGAAATTCATTTCTTCCAAGACTTGTTTTGTGCACTTCGCTCTGCTCCCGTTGCATTGACCTTTCACCCTTCATCGCACATCTACCACGGTGTCGTTTCCAAGTGCCGGATCCTCCACGGCAGGTATACATTTCCTTTTTCTCTTTTACTGGGAAATTTGATTCTTCACTTTTTTTTTTTTGTGTGTGTGTTTGTGAATTGGTGAATTATTGCAGCTATTTTGCGACGCCATGGTTATCAAGTCCTCATTTTCAGACTGCTTTTCTCAATTTCTTTGGGAATCCTCCAGTTTTCAGCTACAAGAGGTCATAAAATTTTCACTTGGCTTTCTTGTTCCTTTTTCTTTTACTGGATAAGTTATAATTAAGCTCTTTTCCGAATAGAATTTCTACTGTTAAACATTTTTTTTGGGTGCTTTTCAATGTAGCAAAAAGGCTGTTTTCTACTGTCCTGCTTTTGCTCTTCCATGTTTATTATTTTCTTCATGACTTCTTTTTTTTTGTTCTTACTTTTTGTCACTTATTTATTATAGGAAGTAAAAATGTTTTCATTATTATTTCATCAAGAATTGAATCGAAATTCCCTAAGGTCATGTTTGGTACACAAGATAATGATAGGATAGGATAAGATGATATTATGAATAGGATTAGATTAAATAATGTCATCCTATCTTATGTTTGATGTATGTAGGGATTAAGATAGGATAATTTATTTATTGGTCAAAATTATCCTTCCTCAAAGTGTATACAATTTAAATTATTGATGTAATTTTTAAGGGTATAATAGGACATGTAAGTTTAATCCCATAGATTAAAAATAATCCTCTCCACTTTGAGAGGATTGAATCATCCTATACCAAGATGATGATAATCCTCTTTGTAATCCTATCTCTTTCAATTAGATTCAAACCAAACATTATATAGAATGATTATCATACTATCCTAACTATCATCTTATGTACCAAACATGACCTCGCTTGTTAAGATTATTGCATGAAAAACATCTCCATTTATTGTTTAAGGATTGTTCCCTTCTCCCTTTTTCTTTGGGAGGTGATGTAGCATGGGAGGGGGCTGTGGGATGTGGAGGCTCATCATTTTACTCAATTTCAAGCATATTCTTCTCTTATAATGTTGGAGGTAGAATGAATACAGTTATTTTATATGTTGGTCCATGTTCTTTTTTCTCTCAAATACCTCTCTATTCCTTCTCAGACAACTTTTTCATGCTTCCGATGGTGGAACCATAGCTCTAGATTGGCTGACAAGTTCTGATGGTAAGTGCAAAATTTTTTATGATATTATGAAGTCTCTACGCAGATATATATGCATGTGGAGCAACTTTTTGATATTAGTTGGTATGTGTGTTTTGAAATCTTTTAGTATTTTGTGCAAGGTTTTGTTTTGAAGATTTGACCTTTCGTAGCTGTTACAACCATCATCAATTATATTATTATTTTCTGTTTTTGTGATATATGATAGGAGTATTGACTACGAAAAAATGTGAAAAGGGTGCAAGTTGAGGACAGATAAGATATTAAAGCATCTAAGAAGGCTTCCTGAAAAATGAACTTGTTCAAAAGTAATGCTTTGGGTTATAAAAGCTCTTACTTTTGGCTTCCATTTATCATCTAACTATTTGGAATTATACAATACATATTGACTGTTATAATGCCAAAAGAGTTACAATATGAAGCTGCTAAATGCACATTGCTGCGTCACACAAATTTCTAGTACTGCTTCAATATTTTCCTTCTAGAGTAGAATCTTAGTTTGTAATTAGCTTCCTCATATGCATCTAAGATGATAGGATTAGGTGATACCCTGTTGGCAGTCACTATTAGCCCTAGAAGAGAGGCTAACTGGCTAAGTTCAAATCCTTGCCTGCCCCCAAAATCTCCCTCCCTTTCCCCAACAAAGCACAAGAAAAAAAAAAAAAAAAAAAACCCTTAACTATCTGCAAAGAGAACAAAAAGGCATCTCGGTTATAATGATGCCATATACCAACACTTTGTTGTTTCAGTATTTCCTTCGGAAACCAACTCTTTGTTTTCAGTATTTCCATCGGAAGTCTGTATAATGGGATTTGATCATGCTATGTTGCTTGCACATGGGTTCAAGTGTAAAACATGGCTATGTATCTTGACAGTATGTTTAATCTTTCATGAATCTTTCCTTGATAATTAGGGTTTAGGATCCTATGGGGTTCATAGTTTTCATTTACTATGATGGCTTTTGATTATAGTTTCTTTAAGTTGACATGCTCTCATGTTTAGAACTTCGACTCAGATTTTGATAGCCTTTAAATCAAATATTGCTGCTTGATCTGTATACTGAATGACACTATCAGGTATCAGTTATTTGTCTACATATACATAATACCTTAATTTCATATTCAGTATAGTAAATATCCTATTCTACAATTGATGTGTTTGATAATTGTACAGTTTCAAGAGGTACCTTTGAGATGAATGATGCCGTCTCAAAGGATGACACAACTCCTTTGGTGGTTGTCATTCCCGGCTTAACAAGTGATTCTACTTCTGCAGTAAGTTAAATGTTAACTTATAACTACTCTTCTTTTCTTCTTGTTTCTAGCTGCTCCTTAGCATCGCTTGTTGGCTTCAATGTTCAATTTGTTTCAACTTTTGGTGAACTTGGAAAAAATAATCAAACTTCACTAGGATAGCTGTATAATTGTGTCTAGAAGCTTCAAGAGTATAATGACTAGTTAGAGGTGAAAGATAGGTTGTAGATAACCAAAGAGGCTTTTGAGGGATCTCAGTTTAGGACTTGCAAATTTCCATTGTAATCTCAAAATTCAGTTGCCTAATGAATAAATAGGCTTAATAAATAAGGCAGGTACCTAATCAGAATGAAAATATTTAATTGTATCCCCAGCATTCAGTTTTAGGCTTTTTTGGTTTCTTACTCCTCTTTTCTCATGAAATATGCTCTGATAACTGTATTTATAAATTTTGCACGTGGTCTTCATTCTGTTAGGTATATTTAGTGCTGTTTTCTTTTACAAGATTACTGCTTATATGGAGTGGTTGGCTGAGAATAAATTTATTGCTATTGATGTCAGTTTAATCCTTTTCAAGTAATTTCTTTCCAGCTCCAGTTGCTAATCATCTTAAAGAATTGCGATACTAACTGATGCTAAGCATCTTTAAAATTAATATGAAATTAGTCAGTCTTGTAAAAAATCTTCTGGTGTGGTTTGAACTTATGCAATCTCCTAGACCATTCTCTGAGGTAAATTTTATTTGAGACATTAGAGAAAGCTATATGTCAAGATGATAGGCATTAAAATTAATGCAAATTAATGACACATAGATTCAATAGGGCAAAGAGATTGTTGTGCTATATAGTTTACAAAGGTAAAATTCTCTTTCTATAATTCTTATGGCAGTACATTAAGCACCTTGCATTTGGAATGGCAAAACGTGGATGGAATGTTGTTATTAGCAACCACCGGGGACTGGGTGGTGTTTCAATTACTGTGAGTTGTCCTTTTTCTTTTATTTTCCTCCTGTTGCATTTTTAATTTCTGGCACATTTTGTTGTGATGTTCTATTTCTTGATATATAGTTCTTTTTTTTTTTCAATATCATCCAGTTTTGCTGAGAACTAATATCATGAACCTAAATCTAGACTAGTAATTGGTTGAGATGTAGTTGGATATGACGTGTTCCAAGGAACAAGTATGTATGGATGAAAACCTGATAGTTAATTGGTTAAAAGCTGAGGATTTCTTGTACTTCCTCTGGCAAGTTCAGAGATGCTAGGAGCTATATCTTGCAGTTAAATAAAGAGTGGTCCTCACTTAACCATTCTGTTAATATGAATCATTTTGTTCATGGTGTTTTCTAAAACTTAACATTGTTAATGAGTAACTGATCTATTTCTTTAATGTTGTACTTTGTAATAACACTTTTGCAGTCTGATTGCTTTTATAATGCTGGCTGGACAGAGGATATCCGAATAGTCATTGATTATCTCCATCATCACTACCCGAAGGCTCCTTTATTTGCTGTTGGAACTAGCATTGGTGCCAACATTCTGGTAAGTTACCTGGTCTGCTTTCTATCTTTCTTAGTTGTTTGCTACATAAAAAATTATTATGAACTCTATTGCTTGATTTACCTCCCCCGTGCATCTGCCAGCTCGTCTCTAATATGTTTGATGATGGTTCCTCCCTTGGGTCTCTGAATTTCCTGGTAGAAATTGGTGTCCTTCTGGGTTTTTATTTTTTTATTTTTAAAATTTTCTATAACTTGGAAGACAAGTTGGACTGCACAGCTTAACCCTATGGTTTATTTTAGCTTTAATATAAGTTACAGAGAAGCCATGTAGCTCTCTTTCTTATTGCATGGGTAGAATTATACAAGGATTAAAAGTCTTTTAGGCTTCCTATCTATTCCCATAATTGTTATCTGGTCCAGAAAGCGCCTCTCTTTCTCTCTTTGTGTGTGTCTCTTTGTCAAACTTCTAATTTCCATGAACAGTGGTAAGTACCAAACAAAAAGTTACTCCAGTCAAGTTGTTCCAAGTTAGGCATTTGATTCAATGGGAATTCTCCTGATCATGTTGATTCTTGTCAATGCCATTTTGATTACCATTAGAAGGATTTCTTAGGTAAGTTAGAATAAGAAATTGGCACCCATTTATGCCTTTTTTTTAAGATCATTTGAATCTATGTCTATGCTGATTTCCTTACTATGGTCAGGTGTAATTCTGTCCCTATATCTGAAAGATTTTGCTTGTTTCACCTTTCTGTCAATCAACTTGGCTTCCACTTCCTATAATTGCATTTGGTTAATCAACAAATTCTAGAAGTTTTCTTTCATTCTCTTTAAATGTAGCATTTTTTTTATTATTATTATTCTATACACCAGCAATGAAGTTTTTAAACTCCAAAAACAAAGATGGCTGCTATATGTCCATTTCATATTTAATTAATTTATTAATTTTCATAAATATATGCTAATGGGACACGTGTCAACCCCTTAACCCCATTTGTGAAGTTTAAAATTTTCACCTCCAATGTGTTGGATAATTTTCCTTTTTTTAAAGGTAAAATAAAGTTTAGCATTTTTCAGTTCTTGTCAATTTCCATTCTTCAGCTTATTCAGAATAAATTGGTTCTTTCAAAAAAAAAAAAAAAAGATCGGAATAAATTGGTTTGTAGTCCATGCTTTAATTGGTTCTATAAATGGCCCTATCATTCCCACTTACCACATAGAGTTTTCTTGTTTGTAGGCATTTGGATATATATATATATATATATATATATATATATATACTCGTTTTTGATACTTGCGTAACGCACATGCAATTCTTATCACTAAAAATTTATTTCAATAAATAATTTTTTATATTATGATAATAATGATAAATATTAATAATTTAATTTTGATTTTGGTATAATATAAGTAAAATTTGATAATTTTTTATATAATTTTGATTTTAATAATTTTCAATAAAATTTTGATATTTTTAATATAATTTTGGTACTTTCGATATTAGTTCAGTAACTTATTATATAATTTTGGTAATTATTGATAATATTTTGGTAAATTTTTAATGTAATTTTAGTAATTACTCTTTTGTTAACTTATGATATTCTTTTAATAATCATTAATAAAATTTATGTCATCATATATTTAACAAAGGAGTCTTGTACGAATGTGCAGATTCAATTTTACTATAAGATAACTTTTTTTATATAATAAACATTATTGTTTCATTTAAATTTAGAATTTTTTTAACTAAATTTTTTATTAAATAGGTTCTTAGTAGGTTTATCCTAGTTTCTCATGATTAAATTTCTAACTTTATTTCTACTAGTAACTAAGGTTTAATTTATGACAACTTTAAATCTAAAAAAATTTATCAATTATTGACAAATTATTATTGATTTATTATTATATTATTAGCAATTTACTATTAAACTGTCAATTATATCTTATTAAATTATTAATGATTTGTTACTAAATTAGCATCAATTTACTACTAATTTATAAATAATTTATTACTAAGCTATAAATGATTTATCCTAACTAAATTGTTAATTATTTATTACTAAGTTATTAATGATTTATTATAAAATTATAACTAATTTCTAGTAATTTATCAGTGATTTATTATAAAATTATCAATAATTAACTAATTTATTGTTAAATTATCCTTAATTTATAATTAAATTATTAATGATTTATTACTAATTTATTAATAATTTACTATTATGTTATTATACATTTACTATTATGTTATCATTTATTTACTACTTAGTTTTTTATTATTTACTAAAAATTATCCCAAATTTATTACTAAATTAATCATTATTTATTATAAAGTTTTACTAATTTATATTTAATTATTTGTAATTTACTATTAAGTTATTTAACTATTAAGTTATTGATGATTAATTACTATTAAGTTATATTGATTTACTTTTAAATTTTCAATAATTAACTATTAATTTATCATTCATTTTATTACTAAATTATTTATGATTTATTATTAAATTTATCAATTAATTATTACTAAACTAAAATTGATTTATTATTAAGTTATTATTAATTTACTATTAAGTTATCAATAATTAATTACAAAGTTATCACTTGTTATTTATTAACTTATTATTGATTTACTAATATATTGTTATTCATTTACAATTAAGAAACATGTAATTTATAAAGTCTACTAATAATATATGAAACAATTTTCTTTTTCTATGATAATATTATTTTATTCAAATTTAGAATTTTTTTCATGGATTCTTTTTTATTAAATAAGTTCATAGTAGGTTTATCATAATTTTTAAAATGAAAGTTTTGATTTCGTTTATGTTAGTAATCAGGGTTCAATTTTTGGCAATTTTATGTATAAAAAAATTATTAATGATTGATAATTACATTATCAATTATTTACTATTAAATTATTAATGATTTACTATTAAATTATCAATAATTTATTTATAATTTATGAATGATTTATTATTAAGTTATTAATGAGTTTTATTAAATTATTGGTAATTTATCACTAAGTTATTGATGATTTATTATAAATTTATAATTGATTTACTATTAATTTATCAATAATTCACTAAAAAGTTATTAATGATTAACTAATTTACTATTAAAGTATCAATGTAGTTTACTATTTCATTATGAGTGATTTATTACTAAATTATCAATGATTTACTGTTATATTTTTATATATTTATTATTATGTTATAATTGATTTACTACTTAATTTTTAATTATTTGCTATAAAATTATCATGATTTACTACTAAATTATCTATGATTTACTATCAAGTTATTATTTATTTGTTTTAAATTATACATGACTTATTATTAAATTGTCACTAATTAATTATTATAGTATAGATGATTTACTATTAAGTTATATTAATTTAATTTTAACTTTTTCATAATTAACTATTTAATATCAATTATTTACTACTAATTTATTATTAATTTACTATTAAGTTATTTATTATTCACTACTATTAATTAACTACTATTAAACTGAAATTGATTTACTATTAAATTATTACTAATTTATTATTATCATTTATTAATTACTAAGTTGTTAATAATTAATTACTAAATTATTATTTATTTTTTGTTTAAGTTATTCTTGATTTAATATTATGTTATTATATATTTATAACTATATTATAATTGATTTATCATTAAGGTATTACATATATATTATTATATTATTACTGATTTATTAAAAAGTTATCAATATTTACTACTAAATTATTATTCATTTACTATTAAGCTATTTCTAATTTAATACTAAGTTATCAATGATTACTATTAGATTATACTAATTATTTTTAAATTTTTAATGATTAATTATTAAGTTATTAATTATATACAATATGTTATCATTGATTTATGTATATCCAAAAAGAAAGTAACCATAATATATACTAGATGGTGTAATCTGTAAGGTAAAGAAAGAAAGAAAAAAGTTTCAAATTTAAATGACTTGAAAAACATAAGTAAACACTTTTAATTTATTATCTATAATTTAACATGTAATAATAAATTAAAATCATAACTTTTTATACTAATGCAATTATTAACAATAAATAAATATATACAATATATATTAAGTCAATATTTCTAATATATTTTTCAAAATTTTTAGTTCATAATAAAATAATACATATTAAGATAAGTTTTATTGATTATTTGATTGAATTATTAGTGTATATATTTTTATACTGTTAGTGAAGTATAATTGCATATAAAAAATTAAAAATTTTGAAATGTTACGTCATCAATGGAAATAATAAATTTTGCCTTATGCGTATATTTTTAAGTATACAATTTTGGGTAAAAATTTTGTTATATATATGATAAAAGTAATGAAAATTAATTTACTAAATAAAATTTATAAAAATTAAACAAATAACAATTTTAAAATATTAAATTAACAATAATTAGCTTCATACTCTCCATAAAAAATTTCTTCCACTAAATAAAAAAAGTATATTTTTAATTGTTGATTCATTTTTATTTCCATTATTCAAAATAACATTTTTTATATTTTAATACCAATCAATTTCTCTATTTGGAAAGAGTAAAGAATATTTCGTATTTTCCATAAAATATTTTTTCTACTATATGAAAAGTTGACATATTTTAATTGTTACTTCATTCTTATTACCATCATTCAAATTGACTTTTTTGATATCTTAATACCAACTAATCTCTCTTTTTGGAAAGAGTAAAAAATATTATAAAGGTTCATAATATTCTAAATAATGTTTAACATTGTTGTCATCATGAATGAATTTGAATTATGATATAATCTTTTTCAAATGAAATATTTGTATTGCTTCCCTCAATTTATATAGCAATAACTTAATTAACAAATGAACGATTATAAACTCGTTAATTTAGATTAACATTTTTATAATATAAATTTTAAAATTCTAAAAAAAAATCATTTAATCTCCGTAAAACTTGAGTATAAGGATTTTTTTAAAATTATTATTAGTATATATTTATCACTTTTGTACTTAAATTTTCATTATGTTATATTTTTATTCTATTTTGAAATTTATTATTGATGCCATAAAAGTATAACTAAATTAACATGGATTAATCAACTCAAATTTAAAACAATTCAAAACTCAAATTTAATATAAATAAATTTTTTATTTGTTTTAAATTTTAATTTAATTAAAAAATATAATATATATAATTATAAAATCAACTAACTTGACTCGATTTCAATTAATTTTAAGAAATAATAAATTAATAGTTATTTAAAATTCAAAATGATTGAACATAATCAAAATTCGAATTGCAATAGTAACTCAATTAAAATCCAATATAAGTTATTCATCTTCTTTAACAATTTAAAAGTTTTTTATTTAAGCTTTTTTCCCTTCATATTCAATGTTTTATTTTTATTATTTTTGTGATTGAATTAGTTAATTAATTTTAAAAACATTTCTAAAGTGAACTTACAATTATAAGTAATTGAGTATAGTGCTTTTTTATTTGAATTTAGAATGATTTGAATACAACTTTTTAAACAAAAAGAAACATGTATCGATTATTAAGTCAAATTTGCTCAGGTGTATAAATGAATAGCTGAGTACATTATAAATAAAAGTAAATGATAAAACTTGATTCAACCTAATTGATCACCTATCCTAAGTAAGGGTATAATTGATCAAGTTTGAGCCGTTATAGTATCAAGCTTGAATATGAGCTTGAGCTAAACTTCAAATTCGAGGCTTGAAACTCAGTTTAGATTCAATTGAGTTTTTTTTTTTTTTAGCTCGAACTCGACTTAAAATAGAAATCGAGCTACTCAAGTTCGCTCAATTAGCCTAATTTAATATGTAAAAATAAGCTCAATTTTTATATTTGACAAAAATTCAATTATTTGTACTCAAGCTTGAGCTCAAGTTCGAGTTTTTTTACAATTATTTTTTTATTAAACCTAATAAATATTATATTTTCATGATAATAACAATAATAATAACAACAAGAATGATAATAATAACAATTTACCAAATGATTCAAATACAACCATGAACCATCGGCAACAAAAATGAAGTAGTAGTAGAATTTTAAATTTTTAAGCCAAGTAGGTAGGCACTAACAATGTATGAAACCAAGGGGAAAACAAGTAATAGTTTTTATTAAGTATAATAATATATAAGGTGATTCCAAAAGAGCAAAGCACAAAATATAGAGTTTTCAATAAAATCCAAAGAAAAGTAGTATTTCTTGGAATATTATGAAAAGAATCCACATCTTTGTGGAAACTACAAGAAAGTTAGAAGGAAAAGTCGTAATTAATTACTTACAACAAAGAAAATAAGCAGAGTTCGCCAACCATTTCCCTTTCATACATAGTAGACAACAAACAAAGAAAAATCAACGAAATGATGTGCTTCAAAAAGTTCTAAACCAAAAGGTAAGGGATTTAGGCCCCCCTGAACTAAAATGGCCAGTGCAAGACAAACCCTGGATCCTTAAACAAAAAAAAAAAAAAACCAGAGGAAAAACTTACAAAGACTTACCCAAGTGTGGTTCGCAAACCCAGATGATTTTACTAATGTATTGTTGGGGCCTAAGATATCCATTGGCAAAGAGAGGAAAGAGGCGTTGTTGGCTTGGAATTTTTTGGGATTGCCAGAGAGAGGAAAGCAGGCGCTACTTAGGCAAGCCGGGACTCGGGGGTGAAACTAAGAAAGAAAGAATAAATGAAAAATGCATTAGGGTTTTCTAGGTTAAGTATTTAAAGGTAAAATGGTAAATTATTAATTAAACTAATAAAAATATAAAAATTCGATTAAGTTCAAGAGTTACTCTAGTCGGGTATCAGAATGCTCGAATTCGACTCGCTTGATAAGTCGAACTACTTGAGTTCAAGGTTGACTCAACAATTACCTAGCTAAATTCGAGTTTTATTCGAATTGAATCCGAATAGTTTACGAGTACTAATATATCATCTATACCTTTAATCTTAAGTCTAAAATTCAACTCAAAATTATAAAAAATAAAAATTCAAAATGATTGAAATACTAAAGACATAATTAAATAAAAATTTATCAAATTAATTTTGTTAATGAATACTTTTAAATTACTTTTGAATTTAGTTAAATTATAATTTATAATAATTTTTTATTTTAGATGTAAAGTAATAATTAATTTGATAAATTTTAGTTCTTTTGAATAAATATTACCTAATATGACAAACTTAAAAATTTTAATACAACAATGAATATTCTTGAACTAATATAAAAAAGAAAATAAATGAGTATACAATATTTCTCCAAATAAACGAATTTCATATTAATTTTAATGAAATTTCAAATCAATATATTTGTATATTTTTCATTGAAAATATCATATATCATTAACATTCTTTGTCATATGAAAAAAATAGAGTTATGTATAATTAATTAATCAATTTTTTATCTCATTTTTCTGTTTAGAATAATCTTCCATTAATGGTTCTATTAATTGAATGTAATTGTATGTTTTATCCATTAAAAGCTTAATTTTTTATTTAAAAAATTTTATTATACATAAATTTTTATTATATAAAATATTAAAAAACATAATTTTAAAAAATAAAATAAAATTCTAACCTCGGTATTTGTCATAGTTTTTTTACAAAAATTTCAATTCTAACAATAATGAATTTGTTTGTAATACTTATATAATTTTTAATAATTTTATTTTCAGCATTAACAATATAAATTTTCATGAATAAATATAATTTTAGCATAAATACATTCAAAAGATAGTTTCAATTAATTTTATCACTCTTAAAGAAATCACCAAACATAATTAATTTTACTTTATTTGATAATTTTTTACTTAAAATAATTCACATTAAGTCACTCAATTATCTAGATGAGTAAAAAAAAGCGAGTAATTTAATGTAATTAAGAAAGATTAAATAATATTGAGATACAAATTAATCATATATATGCATATTAAGATAAAAGTTTAGAGAAAATCAAATTAATTATTGTTTCAATCAATGTGAACAATTCTTATGATAATTTGACGGGAATAAATTTTAAATTACTGGTAGTTTTATCACCTTTTAAATCATTTAATTCTACAAGTGAAAAATCCAATTAAAGTGTTTAATGAATTATATATCAGTAATTGTTAGTGGAGGAGATGTAATTGTTTTGTATTTAATTTGATATTAATTTTTATTTATGAGAATAACAATTATAAAATTCAAGAGTAAAACATACAAAAGAATATTAATTATAGAGGTTAGACGAAATTATAAAAATGATATATTATGGAATTATTTCAAAGGACTAAAAAGATTAATTATGTTATTAATAATCAAATTATTAACTTATAAAATATATAAATAATAAAATCATTGACATACATATAAATTTAATATATTAGAACAAAAAATTAAAAGATAATAAAAAAACCAAACATGCTTTAATGACTTAATTATAGTTATCTTTAATAAGTTTATTGACATAAACTACATATACAATTGTTTTTATAACAATTAAATAAATAAATTCCATATAATTGTTTTATTCCTATGTACATTAAGCTTTAATGTCATTTTATTTATATTTTCATTTCATGTGAAAAATCATTTTACTTACAAAAAAAAAATCTAATAATAAAAAAATCATTTAAATTTAAATTTATAAAAATTACTAATGGTATTTTAGTCAATCATTGTTAATATTTTTCAAATTAAAATTTTATTAAGAGTATTTTAATTAATAATTTTTTTTTTTTTTAGTCTAATTATAAAAAAGAGTCTAATAATAAAAACTTTTATTTAAATTTAAATTTATAAAAACATTTACTAAATATATTTTAGCCAATCACTTTTAATACTTTTAGAATTAAAATTTTAAAATTTTAAATAGTTTAATTTCACATAAATTTTATTTTTAATTTTAGTTAATTTAAATTAAACTTAAATAAATTAATAAAAATTATATATTTAAGGTTAAATTTGTTAATTTAAAACTTTATGAGGGTATTTAGATCGATTACTATTAATACTTTTAGAGTTCACACTCTTATATATATATATATGATATATATATATATATATATATTTGAGTGTGCACTTATCTTTTTTTATTGCTTTAATTAGGCAATAGCAATTTACCTGATCATATTGCCATTTTTATAGCAATATGATCAGTTTGTAATTATATTTCTTTAGCTTGATTTATAAATTATATCAACTTAATATTTATTTGTGACATCTTAATACGAATTATTTCCATCAGGTGAAATATCTTGGAGAGGATAGAGAGAAGGTACCTGTAGCTGGAGCCTTGGCTATTTGCTCCCCGTGGGACCTTTTGGTTAGTGCTTTTATCTCTAGCAAAATGTAGCTGTTAGTCTTTTGGGTTTCAAGTGGCACAAGTTTTATGGAAGAACTTACTCAAAGTTCCATTAGTTGTTAACTGCTAGTTTGAAATGATTTGCTCATTAAATATCTTCTGAGTATGCCATTTTATTATTCTTCTAGTTCGTTTTTTTCCCACTAACTTTTATGAAATAAATTTCTCACAATTCCATTATTTCTTAACTGCTAGTTTTTAATTGCCTTACTCCTTAATCTCTTAGGCTTTTGTCATTGTAATTTGTTGAAGTGGAGATAAAGTAAAATCCCTCATATGTTAAATTGGAAGCAATTCAGGAACATAAATATAATAAGGGTCGCTCTACCTATAACCAATTGGTTTTAGGTTGGATGCCCATCTAAAATTTAATGTATTATCATAGCATACACTATCCCCATTTGTTAATGCCTTAGTGGTAGGCATGTATACCAGTAATGCGAAGTTCATGCAACACGATAGGCTCATTATGTTTATAGATGAAGTTCATGCCACGTGATAGGTCCGTTGTCCCTAAACATGAGCAGGAGTGTAGAATGGAGATAAGGTAAAATCTGTCATCTGTTAAATTGGGGCCAACCTGGGCATATAAATATAACAAGGAATACTCCATCTTAAAATTTAACATAATTGATATGAAATATAAAATACAGAGTATTTACAATCAACAATACCAAATCATCAAACACCATAAGGATCAAGCACAACTGAGCTTAAGCTCCATAGTCCATATAAGACTGAACGGTCAACCTTTCATGGCAGAGCAGCCAATTCATTTCTCCCCATTATGAAAACCAAGAGGATGCAAATTTCATTGACTAAATGCTGTGGGCACGTCCCCTGGTGGATAGCTTGCCACCCTATCTTCTCCCATATTTGCGCTTCTTTTCACTAAATTTAGCCTAAAATAGCGAACTGTTTGTTTCAGCACAATGTAGGCCTCCACTTTGAGTATCTTTACCATGCTTGATTCTTTGTAAACCACATCAGAATCAGTTTCTAGGGTTATATTCTGATAACCACTAGCATTATACAAGCAGATTGCTTGTCTCATAGCTAGAGCTTTTTTTACATGTATGGAATCATCATTTATCTTCTTCTAGCCCTCCTTTATGACCCATATTGAAACTCATGTGCCTGTATCTCATAATGCTTGATTATTAGGGCCACCACAGCTTATCTTTTTCTAACTGTTAAGTAGTATTATCACAAGTCTTAAGTTGCCAGTAATTTTATATTCAAGTTGGGCAGCTTCACCTATTGCAAATTGGTTTTAGGTTGGATGCTTAACACGATACCTAAGTCCAAGTTTGTTCTATTCTTCCTATTTGTTGTCCCTTTTGAGGTTGTCCATGTGGTAGGCCCTTTTTGAGCTACAAGTGAAGGAAAGCGTTAAGTGGTTTTATCTTACATCTGTTAAGTCTTAGATTGCCTTTGGTTTTATATTCAAGTTGGGCCTCTCCACATCTTGCCATTTGGTTTTAGATTGGATGCTTAACACTAACCTTTGAAGGTCCCTGTTGCTGCATTGTGTCTTCTATCAAGTTCCCTTGCTCCCTAATCTTCTTATTTTTATCTTCCAATGATTGCCATGCAGCTGAAATGGCCTGTATACAGCAGCTGCACTACTTGGACTGGTCTTTTTAAAATATGCTTCTCATCTAGCTTTCCAATTATCCAACAAGTGAGAGCTATGTGCACATATGAAGCCACTTTTACTTCTTTTCATTCGTCCTTTATAAGCCCTTGCAGCATCCATTTATTATTGTAGTTATACTTTCTTTGTCAGCCTTATAACCTAATGTTAGCAAACCACTCTTGCTCGGTCCAATCACAAAGCAGTATCTACATTCTTTATTTCCTTACTTTTACAATGAAAGAGGAGAGTTGACTAGCTTCATCTGCCATAAGTTGTAGCTATTATCTAATCAACTATTACATGCTCTCTGCACAAAACTAGTGAATCTGCTTGGAAAAGATAGTCGCTAGTTTAATTTCCACTCTTTGATCTACAATGTGTGAAGAAGAGGGACTAGATGAAGTTTGGGTATTTTGCTTCGTTTTGAATGAAACCAGATGTTACTGTATATTATCCTGATGAGTGAGGTCTGTTCTGGCATAACTAAAATGTCCTTGCCCCCAACTTGATTAGTAGGGACAGTAGAGATTGCATTTACAGCTGTAAGAGATAACAAATCCTGGGTTGAGTCAAGTTTCTGTGTCCAATGAATGATCAGGTCATGTACCTTCTGTAGCAACTGTTGAGCATCTTGCCGTGAATTTCCAGTCATGTTATCTTCCAAGAGCCTATTGCCCAACAATCTCTTCAAATACTAATAATTCACGCTTAGCACCTGCCAGATTGGCTTCTCTTTCAATGGTTCTCTTCTTTCCAGGATACTACTCCCTGGCCAAGACACTTTTTCACCCTTTCCAGCCTCCATTATATTTTATGAGCAAAGTGAATTTCTTTTAGCGCTCTTAGCATATAGGCCTCTCCAACATTACTTTGCTGGGAGGGCATTATTAAAAGGATTCATGTCCTTGAATCCCATTCCCCGTTCTGCTTGCTCAAGTTTCTGTGAACTTTGTTGGTGTAATTAGTAGCTTAATCTTATTTGTTACCTTCACCAGAACTTTTACGTATGTGTATTGGTTCACCACAATATTCTTAGGTGGCTTAAAACTAGCTTATGTAAGTTGGGAATGGACATTCAGCTTATTTGATTAGTATTTCTCTTGCTTCTTGTGATAACATTTTCAATTTCCTGTCCTTTCACATCTTATAAGTTAATTACAGTCCCCCTGAACTGTATTCCTGATTCTAACAACTTAGACAAACAGCCCTACCATTTGTAGAAGTGACCTGTTAATTATCATGTAAAACAGCTGATATGAAAGCAGTTGGAATGGTTCGATAGGCACGAGGTCAATATAAAACCACAAAAAACATGGGGCTAATATAAAACCACAACAAATGCAGGACTTAACCAATATGGTAAACACCGTTTAACGCTATTGCTCATGTGTAGGCCTAATACTAATAACAATTGGAGCAAATGGTTCTACCATGCGCGTCAATTAGAAGGCAACAAACAACTTAGTTTCTAATACCATGTAAAGGCATCCAACAGAAAATAAGGCTGCAATAAAAGTCTGAATCGACTAATATGCGACAACACTAGTTAGCTATGTGAACAGGGAAGAAGATTAGAAAAGAGACAATGACAGAAACTGTTGCGATTAATATTAGGATTTGAATCAATTTTAGACTCGGTTGCAAGTTTCCTTATGCATGATTCTATGATTTATCAGCCCCGCAGCTGACAAGGAAATTTGTGAGATTTTATAAACTGAAACTTGATTGTTAGTAGTCATGATTTTACCATATTGCATTATATTGGTATTAGACTATCAGTCAGTTTGAATATCTTTTTACTTGGAAAGCATCATGCAGTCCCAAATGCAAAGAGGAGAAAATCAAAATCTCTTGTCGTTTCTGCAAAGCCTTTAGAATGATTGGGATGGATTGCAATTAGCTTCTTTTAAGTTGGCAGTTTCCTTGCAATAATAGTGTGGGGTTCACCTGCATGTGGCTGGACTAATTTAAACTTTGGTTCTGCAAACATTTAGTATCATCTACTAGAGGTTTTTGCATCTGCGAATCTTTCTTTGCACATTGACTATATTAATGAAGTTATAGATCAGACAAAAGGGAAAGAACATGTAAGAAATGTTGCCAATTCACTGATTGCTAGAAATCTTCAGTATGAGTTTAGGAAATGATGTAAAATTGTCATATAAGATTGATGCTACTCCTTTAATGTTGTAGAATGCGGAAGTTAATAATGAAGTTAATAAAGTTCTTGAATGGGAAAAAATTTTTTGTCAAGCATTCTTTCTATATTCCAGAGTCTGATGAACCGTAGGCTGGATTACTTAGTCCTCAATTAAGGGATATTTATCATGTAAGTTTACCTGTGTTTTCATGTATGACAGTATTGAGCAAAGCTGCTCCTTATGTGCATCAAGTCAAGTTTTTGCTTTTGAAATGCGCATTATGGTTGTTTAGCCCATCAATTAAGATTTATTTCTTCTTAGGAATGATAAAGCAAAATAGATGATGCATGAATATTGTTCTATATAGTTGTAAAAGAGACCCATAACTAACTTCTCTATTGATCTTCTTTATTATATCATCGAAAGATATCCTAATCTCACAGAAAACAATTTTTTTTTAGTCTTTACTAATTGAATCTGCTGGAACAACTTGTGGATTTTAAGATTGTGAGCAAAAGTGTTATGCCTTTCATGGTGGTCAGAAATTACCCAACAATTTGTGACACCAGCATAATAAAGTTCTACTTAGACCTAGTAATTTTAAATACGACATGGTGATACAACACGGTGATATGACACGAAAACAACATAGAAAAAATTGTGTATGGGTTTAGTGTAATTGTGTTTCGTGTCTTAATTGTATCAACGTGTTTAAGACATGACATTAGTGTTCGTGTCAAATAGTAATGACACATTTAAGATACCGTATTATTGATAACATGAAAAAATTTTTAATTTTATTTTAATTTATTTAAGAAATAAATTAATAATTATATTTATAATATCATTTTGGTGTTTAAATAGATTACAAATATTTAATTTTTTAATAATTTTTTTATTTAATACTAATTTAAATGATATTTTTTGTTGAAATAAATGGATTAATTGTGTCTAATCATGTTATTCATATATAACAGTGTTAATTATGTCGTGTCGTGTTGTGTTATTTGGGTATAAATTACTTTTAAATGTATTAATTGTGTCGTATCGCGTGTAGCGTATAATAAAGTATTATGTTCGCATTTAAATTATTCATATCATTTAAGTATTCGTGTCGTGTTTGTGTCAAGCTTATTCGTGTTGTATCTAAAATCGTGTTTGACATGAAACATAACACAATGACACGAATTGCCAAGTCTAGTTCTACCTACATGTGCATGCATGATATGTGTCTTCATGCATTTCTTTGTTTTGGCTTACATTTATAATATTTTGGTTAGTTAATATTGGTAATGATTTCCTCATTTGAATCACCCTTTTATGTGTATGCTATTGATAAAGTATTAATCCTTAGCCCCTGAGATTATCATTAGAACTAATTATTTAGTGATGCTAAGCTACAATAAGAAATTAACTAGGTACTACAAAAATAGAGAACACTCATTTTGGTCAGATTGAAGTTGAACTGACGCATACTAAGCTCTGGCAATTAAAACTAACTTTCTAGCCTTGGCAATAAAACGTGACAGAATCTGAATCTATTTGTTTTAATCATTTTTGTGGGCAGGTTCTAGAAACCTGCCAACTAACTGCATTAGCTCTTGAATTAACTCTTACCCATCTTCTAGGACATTCTACATTTTCCAATCATTTGCATCAGCTAATTCTTAAAAGTTATCGACTTATTGTGATGTGAATATATAGATTTATGTAGATAAGAATTCTCAATGCAGGGCCTTGTGTTCAAAGTTTGTTAGTTATCATGTTATTTCTGCTATAGCCACATCAAGTTACTATTTTTTTGACATTGTAGCAGGATATGTGATCATTCATTTGAATCTGCAATTGTTCTTCATCATCTGGTTACATGTTCTGCTTTTATATATATATTTTGGTTTTTATTTTCATTTAATTTTATATCTTCTGCAGATTGGTGACAGGTTTATATGCCGCAGGCTAGTTCAGAAGTTATATGATAGAGCCATTGCAATTGGCCTTCAAGGTTATGCAAAACTGTATGTCTGTTCTACTTTTATCAAATAAGTTGTAAGATTTGAAGACTAAATGCAGGCCCTTGGTGTCTGAAACTCAACAATGTTCCAATCTTTTTGATCTTTTCAGAGGAGGCATGCAGAATGATGCCTCCGAATGATGTACCTAGTAATTGGTTTCTTTTCCAACTCATTCTGCCTTTGGAACTTAAAAGCACCGACAATACCTGTCTTTTTTCCTTTTGGGGTGGGGTGGGGGGAATAGTGTTTGCAAAGATGTCTCAATTACTGAAGTACTAATAAATTTTCAATATCAATTTCCTATAGTTGATATGACCCAAATGTTTTTTGTAGGCATGAGCCTCGCTATTCTCGGCTGGCTAATTGGGAAGGCATAAAAAAGGTTATTTTCTTCTTTGATATGAGGACCATCATTTCTTTGGGATATTGCATTAGTGTAGTTAGAATAATTGATCCGAAAATGAAATCATGCTGTTCTGTAGTTTCTTATACTGCAAGAATCAACCATCATTGATCTAATAATTGACCTCCTTTTGTTAGAATATAAAGTTTCCTCATTTTTCTTTCATCATGGGAAAATTAACCTTAAATTTCTAATTCGGACTTGGTATATAATAAGTTTCTTATTCATTGCTTCTTCCAGGCCAATCCTGGATAGTTACCACATGAAAATATTGAGCATGATGACATGTAGTAATTAGGATGCATGAATGCTTCAATGCTTACTATCTTTTGTTCTCTAAATAAGTACCTAGGGCATAACTAAAAATGGAAAAATTTTCAATGTGTTTCTTAAAATTTCTTATGGGGTTGCTCCCTCACCGCCTGTTCTTCCTCTATGGTAATAGGTGAACAGTATCTGTAGCCAGAAAGAAATACAGACCTATCTATCTCATGCAATGAGCTATGGAAAATTTCAGTATTAACAGTTTGCATCTCTTATCTTTTCCTTGCCCAATCTTCCTCAATATATAAAGATAGAAAAATACAAATATAAATTATTTGAGGAATATTACCTGTCTTTGCTGTTTTATGAATATTTCCCTAAAATAGGATAACAACCTGGCATAAAATTTTTATTGTGGTTACACTCTTACAAATTTCCATGAAAAAGGTCTGCAAGGAGGGCCACTGAATTTTTGCCTCTTTAACCTGGAGGAAAGTTTAGACCTGAGCTTTCACCTCAAGTGCATGCATTTAACTGATTTGGATGCCTTGGAATCACCTTTGTTCCCCTTCATTTCATAACTTTCACTATTAAGTTTACTGCTAGACAACATATTTATGAAGTTGCCCCTCTTTCTCTTATTGGCAATTCTGTATGTTATCACTTATCAACTATGGCAGAACTTCAAGAGAAGTAACATTTTCACTCAATCTGTTTCTTTGGGCATAAGTGTCATTAGTCTTCATTATGCTTCTCTTCCTTTTATCTTATACTGTTTACGGTTGTCCTCTTCTTCAAAAGTCATGTTCTATTCGAGATTTTGACAACTCCGCTACATGCCTTGTTGGAAAATTTGAGGTACTATCTGAAACTTTATCCATTTTTCTTCTTTGCTGTTATATTATGAGTTACCAAAAGTATCATACTGTTTTCTCAGACTGTGGATACGTACTATAGGCATTGTAGCAGCTCTTCCTATGTGCAAAATGTGTCAGTGCCATTGCTTTGTATCAGTGCTCTAGATGATCCTATATGTACCAGGGAAGCCATTCCTTGGGATGAATGCAGGTGGAGCTCCTCCTGTAACCATGCTACTGAATGCTGCCTCTGAGTTTCTGATGTTATTTTTAGCAACTGATCTGGTAACTCTGTCTTTAACAGGGCAAATAAAAATATTGTGTTGGCCACCCCACAACATGGAGGACATCTCGCATTTTTTGAGGGAATAACTGCATCTAGCCTATGGTAATTCATAGCTCCACGTTAGTACATAACCAACCAGTATAATATGTTTGTCAGATTTATTGATACTATAAGCCAGACTTTTCCTTGATAAGAAATTTACCGGCTGTTTTGTTCATCTTATGATTTTATTATTGCCATCATCTAAGGAACCCCCTTCACTGAAATTGAGAGTGAGAACTCCATTTTTCTTGGATCCTTTGTGCTTCAGTGTTTAATCTTCATTACTTTCAAACTGATCTTCTCTCTAGCTTTTAGTTGATAGGCTATAAGGTCACCTGCTTAAACAATTTCTTGTATATGCAACGGTAGTCACCAAAATATTTGATGTGTCAAGGATGTTGTCGATATGTAATTCTTTTAGCACATTGAATGGCAGACCAGTTCTAACACAGATAACTTTTTCTTTTTGTTATTCAGGTGGGTTAGGGCCACTGATGAATTTCTCGGTCTCCTACACACTAGTCCACACATGCACGTACAGAAGGTTTGCTTTATGTTCATTGCCTTTAAGTTTGCCTACCCAGACATTGCTAGGTTTATGAAGTACTTGTTGAAAGTCTTGCTCTCTGGTGCAATAAAATTATTAAACAATATAATTTTCCGATCTATCTGATTGTAATTAATTTGATGCAATACTTAAATCCATGTCATCTTGTTGATACTTTCTGTCTTCATGCATTTGCAGGCAGAGAATTCTGAACTGCAGCTGTCAGTGGGATCATCTACTGATCAGGGTCCGTACGTAAATATCGCAGAAGATGGAATGGTGGCTACAGTTGGTAATGAGCATGCGAGCAAAAACGTAGTTGAACACTTACCTGGATTGGGGAAGATTCATAACAAAGAGTGTGATCAAATGGTTTCAGCAACGGAACAAAAACAGTACCTAATGGAAGCAAAGTCCGATATTGCAGCCAATGCTGCTCAAGTTTCTGGACAATGTTCAAATCTGCAAGGCGCCAAGTCTTTGGATGTGATTGCTCCAGTGAAAAGATGCTTGAATCACCTTTCCCGTCAAAACAGAAAATCAATGTGGGTACTGGCTTACATTGCCATAATTACAAGCTGGCCAATAGTAGGTTCAGCTTTTCGCATCTTTTCCAGGAAGAAGCTCGGAAATGTTTCACTTGCAACTTCGCATGGAAGGTAATCCAATGCAGCTACTTTGTATTTTGTGCGTGTTTGATGTGTCATTATTCAAATCCAAAAAGCCCTGTTTAACTAGCTTTGCCTAGAAATGACATTAAAGCTAGTAATGAGGCAATCTCTATTATGTCGTATATTGTCTCTTTATTTGATGTCACAAGACCTGGTGATAAGACTTTCCACACCATTGGTTGACAGCCGAGTGCTTACGGACTTAATATTTGTCAGGTAAAAGTATCTGTTTGAACCAATACACCATAGATAAAATAAATCCCATATACAAATGATTAAACACAATGCGATCAACTTGTTAATCATGTCAACCTCTTTGCTAGCTAGCAAAGGATTGTAGTTGTTGGCAATAATCTAAGAAGTACGAAGAGAAAAAGAATGAAGAGAAAGAGCTATGTTAAGGCAGAGAATGGATACATGCTGCATTTTTCATTGCAATATAAACGCATTATGCATTATTAAACTTCAACTACTTTAACCACTAGACATCCAATCGTCTGTCTAAAGTTTTTGGATGACCAAAAGCTTTAAAAATAATCTAAGACAAGCATGACAGGAACAGGGGTGGATCCAAATGTACGCCTAGGGTGTCTTATGCACGTCTCCAAAAGGTGAAAAATAAGAAAATGTGAAGGAAAAATTTTCACTGAACACCTCCGAAAATTTCCCTTAAACACCACCAAAGAGTAAAAGGTAAGAAAATTTAAAGAAAAATTTTCCCTATACATCTCAAAAGTTTGTCCTAAAAACTATTTCGTCGATAAAATTAATAAATCTATTGAAATTATATATATATATATGTATATATGTGTGTATATTATAACTGAACACTAACGAAAAAAAATCTGGATCCATTATGGACATAAAAATGTCATAATAAAAACAAAAGATTTGTGACATAAAAAATGCCACTTGCTTGCTGCATTCAGCAGCTAACAAAAGTGCTCTCAGTTGTCATTGATTTGCAATGAAAATCAAAATATGGGGACTAAAGGTGTTCAAACTGAAGTAGAAATTATATTGTTGCTAAATATATAGAAGGTTGTTGGAGGACTTTAACCTTTACAATTTTTCAAATTTATATGTGAATGATCATTAACTTTTCTTTTCTTTTCTTCTTTCTTGAATTTATATGTGATCCATTACCACTGTTTGCTTATATGTTTTATATGTATTTATTTTTTAGAATTACCTCTATACTTTATTGGTAAATCACAATTTGACACATCATCAAAATTTTTTAAAAACCTTTAGTAATAAATATTACTCCTTTTATCCTATATTATTAGTCCCTTATTGATTTTCAGAAATTTAAGAAAAAATTGATTTTGGTGTATATAATATTAAATTTTTAGTTTTTTATAGATTTGATGTTCCATTGTTTTTAATGATAAAAAGTAAAAATATATATATATATATAATATATAATAAAAATAAATTCAAGTGTTCAAATAAATAAAAAGGACATAATTTTAATACATAAAAATAGACCCAAAAAAAATGAGAGTAATATCTTTGAGATGGCTTAATGTTATTAACAGTGTATAAACATTTTAGAATATTCGTGCATTATATATATATACACGCTTTTTACATCAAGAGATTATAACTAACTGTGCTTAGTCAGTGTGAAAGTTGGAATCTTTTCAAATCAAAGTAAAAAATTGTAAGCAATCAAGTTAAGGGCCTCAGCCATTAGCCATAGTTTGCATACAGTTTGAATGATTGACCAAATCCTAGCCACACATTTTCGTACTCTTTTTCTTCAGATGAAAAAGGTATAAAATGAAAAAATTTTAATTATTGATTAAGTTTCATAGATCACCTTTGCTATTTTGTAGCTCAAATCTTTAATTAAAAAATTGTTCTTCCTCCTTTCTATTTTCAGAAGCAGACGGGGCTTAAGACTGATAATTTATATTTTAAACCGGCAATCTTAATCTTATTATTTCATGAAAGAATTCTATACCGTTATTTATATTTTTCCTCTCAAATCATGGATAGAAAATTGTAATCATTGATTCATAAATTTATACTATTTCTTTTCGTGAAGTATTCCCTCTTGATCAAGCTTTCACTCCTTCTTCTCTGACTCCATCTTTTCTGAAACCCACCATTCTAAATGCTTTTGTCTTACTCAGGTTGCCAATTAAGTCATGTAATAGACTCAACAACAATCGTATTCACACCTTTGTTAAGCAATCCCTAGGTTTAGATATGAATCCTACTTTCTTTTCTTTTTTTTTTTTTGTAAGAAAAAAATTTATGGTAGATAAATTATTCAATTTTTCAAGTTAAGACAAGATGCGTTATATTTGATAGTCTAAAACAAACTGTTGTAAATTATGCATTCGAAATAACTTTAATAAACGACCACTGATGAGACTTAAACCAAAAACTTCTTCATTAAAAAAGATGAATTTTAACCAATTAAATCAATCACTTGTTGATAATCTTATATTCATTGTGACATTAATTACCTCTACCGGTTAATATTAAGTTAGTATTTTTTTAAAATAAAAAATGTCACAATTTAAAAATAAAAAAAAAAATTACAGATATAAAATTTAAACCTTAAATCATTAAATGTCATATTGTAAAAGTAATTGAATGGATTAATTAAAATAAGTTTCCGATTTAGTCAGCTAAATTTTTTCTTTGACAAAATCCAATATAATCTAAATCAAAGAAAATCCTAAAATATGAGGAGAAAATTTCAAACCAAAAAGGATCTGTTGAGAGGCTATAACCCACTTAAGTTTTGCTAGAAAACAATGATATTGATGATTAGCACACGAAACAATGACTCATACCGCATCCAACAAAAATATGAATCTGCCGTTTGATTGCATAAGGACAAATGAATTTGGTAAGAAAATGACCTTTTTCATTGTAAGGAATCAAAGCAAAGAAAGACAAACCTGGCTCCATTTTTATACCAGATTTAGGCTGTAGAATAGAACTTTCCTCTCCAATTTTTCAAGTACAATATCTTTTCTTTGAGAAGATTATGATCCTTATTCTGATCTGCAGAATATTCAAACCATAGGAAGTAAGGCAAGACAAAGACATAGCAAAAGCCAAGTAGGTATCACTTTGTAATCTCAGCCATTATCCATAGATTTAGAGTCCTCTACATTGCTTTAGCAATCTCATTATTTTATTGATGCATTCACTTAAAGGGTTTTATAATAATGATATGTTGGTAATCTCTTTAGTTGTTAGTATCAGAAACCGTCTCTTGTAAACCTCGGAGAGTATTTTGATCTAAGTTATGTTACATTGCGTTATATGGAACTCTAAAACAAAGATTTCCAAGATTTAGAAATTAATATGCTGCCCAAATATTACCACCTATCATGGTGTTTGATATGGTTTTGAATAGGGTTTTTTATTAAATCTAAATTATATCTAGCAATTCATGTATTTATATTTATTTATTTAGTATCAGAGATGTAAAATACAAGAATTATCATATTATATTTGTATTAATACGTTATATATAAAACGCATTTTTTATTTTTACAAAAAACATATATATTTACTATAATTTTAAATCGTATTACTTTAGTATTTTTTTTTTATAATATCATTGTCTTATTTAAAGTGATTAGATCTAATTGAAAATTTCTTCTCCAAGACTGACTTCCAAATATTAAGAAAACTATAATTTTGAATCATCTTAAGATTTATGTAATTTATATAACTAAATAAAATTATTCTTTGATTGTGTATTACACCAAACAAATGGTAGGACTAATTATCTAATATTCATGGAGCATGAAATATTGAAAAAAAAAAAGTTGAAAAGATGTGAAATTGGAAGAGAATTACTAGAAAACAATTGATTAGGACATATATGGAAAAAGAAAATCTATATGACAATGCAAAATTTCAAATGCAGGTAATATGAGGGGCAGACTTAGTCGTGGTGAGCATTAATTAAACTACAACTAAAATGTTCTAAAACAATATTATTGCTTCTTTGAATTGAACCCCAAGGGCATTATTTCCTTTGCTTTCATTGATTCTTGTTTGACTTGGGAATTCATATGAAACAAAATGCCTTTAATTTGTCACGTTTGCTTATTAAGTTATGCACCAAAAGTCTACAAATTCACTTGAGAAATTGCACCTTCAAGTGTGAATAGAGAGTAAAACAGATAACAAAAAGATGAAACGATTATTGATAAGACTGGATAAAATTGAAAACTCGTGAATTATTCTTGCTTTCATGAGAAAGTTTGATCAACAACTATACTATTGCTAGTAATAGCTTTTATTTTGTCAAGAAAATAATGAGTTCTCTTATATATTAGTCAAGATCCTTGTTCTTATTTTCTTCTCTCCAAAACCTAGCCATATGGCTTTGAAATAAGTTGTATGAAAACTCCTCTTTGTTTTCAGATGTAAACTCATAAAATTTCCTATGTCGAAGATGTCATGGTGTTTATGGACTGGTTTCATATTGGAAAAATAGGAATGTGATGATCAAAACCCTAATTTGCTTTCAGATCACCCTCCTAAGAATGGATAAAAACCAATAGGTCACTTGCAATCAAGTACTTGGCTCAGTTTGGTTGCTGACTTTGATAAAAAAGCAGGGTTATTAGGTCATCTTTCTTATGTAAATTTAAAAATCTGAATTAATGATATATGCTATGAGCATAAAGCTGCTACATGAATATATTATTTCTCGAAAACTAATCAACAAGTAGTACATGGAAATCCTTATCATCTGATTTTGTCAGATCTTCATTTTTCTTAATAGCAGCCAAATCATTTTAAGAATTTGCTTACTTTACGTAGTTTAATGCATACAAATAAAGATTTTTAGTATATAGAGAAACCTCAGGTGAAAAGTCAAGGAGAAATGGCCTGCATGTCGGTTGGCTGGTAATGTCCTGCCATATGAATGCAGTTGTCATGTCATCATCATTCGCCACTGGTTTAAAGGATCATGTTTCATTATAGATTTTCTTCTTTAATTCCCTCTTTTCAATTTCCTTCATTTCTTTCTTTTCATCCGTCTTCCTTTTTAGCATTGGTTATCTAAGAAGTTGCCATATGTCAATCTCACAGCGTAAGGGACAGCATCAAAATTTGAAGCAGTTGATAAAATAGTAAGCTTTTTCATTGTTTTATCAGGCAAATTTCAAGTATTAGTTAAATTTAATAGTAGCTTCATGTTGTCCATAAACAAAGACAATAAACAAAGGAAGTTGAATCCAGGTTCCAAGGTCCGATGTTTCATGTTATTTTGTTTTGGGGGTACAATGGGTACAATGCTATTGTTTCTTAGGACACATTCAAACGATTCTCCCAATGTATATTAATTTATTTTCACTTATTCCTTCGACAACTCATTCAACTCATAGTATCACAACATTTTATTTCTCAACTTTTTTTGTTTTCTGCAATGAATCCAGGAACAAGATACCGCATCAAAAAATACATTGAAACAAGTGGGGGAAGATCAGTACTATTTTGGTTAGATGAATATAACAATTTTAACATCCTTTTGTTTTTGACAATTCTTTGTGAAATCTCATAGATCGTTC